GCTAGAGGGTCGCTCGAGATGAACATTAGAATCTGGAACACCCTCAACAAAAGGTTCACTAGCCTGACGTTCTTCGTTTTGAACGGTAACAGGGCCAATGACTGAGTCACTTCTGGTCCTGGAATATGGTATACGAGGGGCTTCACTCTCCGCGCCTTCCGTGGCATTCTCGCTTTCAGAAACGTCATATAATTTTGCCGCTGACGATAATGACGTGCCTATTGATTTGGAAGGGTGTGAGCTACCGGTAGATGCCGAGAACATGGGAAGACTTTCTGATGACTCGCGCCGGCGGAAGCCCGGAGGCCTCACACTCTCAACGTGAGACTCGAGCGACAGGATCTTTTTGGGATACTGTTTATAATCACGAATGGCTGCTTTTTTATCCTCCATCTTTTGGTCGTATTCATCTACTTCTGATGTCTCTGTGCGACTCCGAGCACGCCAGTCACCTCTTCCGGTAATGGCTCGTGGGGCGGATCTTTGGTCATCTTCAAGAGTTTGGGACACCAGCCCAGGTAGAGGGTCAGATGGGAGGCTTTCGCCAGGAAAATGCGTATCTTCGCTTGCATTCGACTGGCGGTGCATACGTGGCTCAACATCGGACATCGAAGACCAATCATTCGAGTTCATGGTGCCTTGATTTGGGCTCAGAAGCGACGGTGGCAGAGGTTGGATATCCATAGGGTCATCTAAAGATGCCATATGCGAATTAGAGCTATCTGACGATAAAATGGTGCAGTCAGGCAAAGGCTGCGCTAGCGGGGTTGTCATGTTAGAGGCGTTTTCTACATCAACGAGAGGCTGCCTGGTCACTTCCGTCTCCATAACACCCTTGAACAACCGATTCTTCACCTTTTCGGGTTTTCCCTCATCCAAGGCTCTCGGCTTTTCAGAATTCTGCCCTTCTGCGGACAATCTTGTTCTGATGCCACGGATGCTCTTTTCTGGAGCCTGCCGTTGCTCCCTCGCTCTAAGTTGCAGTTCTTGAATGACAGCGAACTTTACTATACGCCATGTTTGAGATAGCTTAACTAATGAAGCATCTTCTGCACAGTCTGCGTTCAGGCTTAATGATTCTAGCAGTGATCGTAGAAGATCTGAGTGTATGCTGTTAGAGGTTCTAAGCAAAGGAGCATAGTGACGTGCCAGGTATCGAAAGGTTCCTTGATCCATTGTGGCTCCAGGTATACTCCCAACTGCCCCTAACTGGTATTGTCCGGAAGGCTTGATCTTTGATAGCACCTTCTCCAGCGACAGAACGGGATTAAATTCGGGAGCACCTGGAGGAGTGCTGCCCAGTGACTTAGACGCCCGACCACTGCTTGATTTAGTACGTCGGTGCCTAACCGAGATAAACGAAGGTTCATCGAGAAAGTCTTCTGCTGGGCTTTGACTCAAAGCTTCTGCGCTACTGCTCTCTTCCTCAGGATGGCCCATGAACTCCGTGGTGCTGAGGCGTACAGTACTATGCCTGGTACGTTTCTGGACAAAAGCCAGCACCTCACCACTCGGGCTCCAGGCTAAGGAGCACATCGGCCGTTGATTTACGACCTGAGGGGCATATCGGATATCCGTTTGGGTGAAAACACCGGCCTCGCCAGCAGTCCATAACAGATCTTTCGAATGCCAGAGTAAATCGGCAGCATGAGACTCGTACCGATCAAACTCTCGGAATGGTATATGAGGACGCCGAAGATCCCAGAGATGTATCCGTGGGTCTTCTTTGTCATAGGACGTTACTAACTGAATTGACTGCCAACCACCGGAAGTGTCATGTTCGTTGTTCCAGGATGGCGGACGCCATCGTACATTCCCAACGGCCTGGGGTGTCCGGAATTGAAATGTTGGTTTCTGCCTACGTTCAGCCGAGGAAGAGAAATCCCAAACTTTAACATGCCTGTCTGTACCACCACTGACGATGTGCTTGCCATCAGGATGCCAATCTACTGAGAAGCATGGCTTGTCATGAGCGGTGATCCTTAGCAAGGGGGCGGTAGTTTTCCGGCAATCCCACAACTGTATGGCACCACTGTCCGTGGCGGTTGCAAATGCAAACCCATCGTTCGGAGACCACCTGATATCCCGGACTGCATCGCTGTTCCCATTATACAACTCCTTACTCGAACATGGCCTGACTGCGGATGCCATGCGCAAGTCCCACATTCGAATAGAAGAATCCTGGCTGCCAGACAAAAGCCATGCCGGCCGATGCGGGTTAAAAGCTAATTTGTGGACCTGGCGGCTGTGCCCCTGAAACCGGCAGTATTCCAGGCCAGTGCGTTGTAGATCATAGAGAACAATGCGGCCGTTGGCCACTGCAGTGGCGATAATGGTGTCATAATTGCCATGTGACCATTTCACATCCCGCACTGTCAGCTGGTCTTTATAGCGTGCGGAGAGTCCACTGCCATCATTCTGAGTGGAGGAGTAACCGATGATAGCATTGCGAAGGTTGAATTCTTCGGAAGAATGGTCGGGTGAGACACGGATGGTCTTCAAAATCTCTTTACCCCCGACTACTGCATGTGTCCGTTGAGGAGAAATATCTAAAGCAGCAATCGGAATCCCGGTCTTATGAGTGACTGTTTGGGACGCTCCCGGTCTAGCAGGGTTGTTAGAAGATTGCTGTCAAGCCTCGTTGGCAAGGTGCAAAGCTGCATATTGGAAGTGTGACCTGTTTAGATAAAAGATTCTAAATGAAGCTGGAGCAACGCAAAGGGTATACGGGAGGGGAAAGGCGGGAAAGCGCGATGAGAAAGAAGAGCAGCAGGAAAGGGAAACTATACAAGGACTTGGACCTATTAGAACAAGGACCGGCAGAGAGGTCTGCACGAACCCCTGAAGCTTGCGGACTTGGAGGTCGAGACCCAGAAAAGAAGGGCTGGGCAAATCTTGCTAAAGCACTGGCCGCGCGATTTGAATATTTGCTTTGTTGCACGGGGGCCGGTGGAGGAGGAGGGGGAGGAGCTGGGGAGGAACTGCCTCGGGTGGGCAACCGAGAGCTATCGGACATCCTCAAGAGGTCAGTCAATCACGACTTAACCCGATAAGGGATGAAGGTCCATGTTTGACAAAGTTCCCACGACGAACAAACAAGAAGAGGGAGCTGGTGGAGGTGGGGAATGGGAGTAAAGGAGGGGGGGGCTTTAGAAGGCGGAGCTCCCTGTTGGAGACTCTTTGGAGATGCGATCCGCTCGTGACTGACTAACTGATTAGACGGGTTGCTGCCTTAGGACCCCATCTGAGGATTAGTCAGCTCCTGTAAGAACGTTGAATAGAGGTCGAACTGGGGTAGTAATCAGGAGTAAGCAATTGGATTGATTCATGTGAGGTGCATGAAGCAAGTACCAGGAGTCAGCAAACCTGAGGAATGTGAGGGAGAATTAGTGACCACTCGAATAATAATAGAGTGGCGAGGACGCGTGATGTGCGGATTTAGCGCCAGTTTGGGGGAGGTTTCCACCAGAGCGTTTGGTAAATCCTACCCAGTAGGTACTGTGTAAATAGCACAGGAAACAAACTCGAGACAAACTCTAGACCTTACTTCATTCCTACAACAACAACAATTCATCTTGTTTAGTCTGAGGTATTTTTCTTTTTCTTTTCTTTTTTTGGTTCCATTAACCCGATTGTATCATACCATACCGGCCCTTTTCTTGTTTTCATCTTAAGTTTAATTTTTTTTTTTTTTTCTAGTGTTTATCAATTTTTTTATTAATGATATTACCAAATTAATTAAATCTTCTCAGTTCCCACCTCTAGACCTGTTCAGGTGATGGATCCGAAGAGTTATGTATCCAGTAACAAAGTTAGAACAATAGGGATTTGAATTGACACCTGAATGATGTGTACAATCCATAGTTGTTGGATGAACTCATCTGGCAGGATGCCGTTAAACGTCTCTATGAATGGATCCAACGAGCCGGTATGCATGCTAAAAGCGGTGTGCGACGTACATGTACACACAGACATTATACTAGCTAAGTTCGTTGCATATTTAGAAGTAGTGACTGTCCAGTGATGCATGGTGGTATGGATGTATTTATTGTAAGGCGGGTGGCTTGGATGAAGACAGAGCGTATCCACCGTCAGGATAATTAGGCCGATTAATGGCGATGGTTTCCTACTCACTCAGTACTAGATGTCTCAGACCAGTCTCATACGAATTGACTAAGATCCGACAGTCAGACAACTTATGTCTGGATCCGAGATGTACCTTACGTACATACGGTATACAGAGGAGGTACGTACATATTTACATACCAACGACACTTTTGTGTTAGATCATCCGGACCTTCGGGACTCAGGTGGGACAAACTAAAGCGACTCGTCGGGAAGACGAGTCGGGGTGCAGGGAAGTCCTCGACTTGAAGAATTGTCCCCCCCGCATACTCCTGACCTGAATCACTCATGGTCATCATTCCACTCATTTTGGGGGTGGTCTGGTGATGAATTGCCCGTTGATTATGGTCCATCTGGTTGGTTTGTTCTTGAAGAGGGTTAAGTGAACATGGGTGTGTCCGAAGACAAATAAAATAAGCATGTCTAAAAAAGACGACCTCCTCATCACTGATCATACTACAATATAATATAATCATATTAATTAGAAGTGTAACAAGCTAAATCCATTGTGAGATGAGATGATACTGCCCCTGGCACTGAACTATTTCTCAGCCACCTACGCAGGGTGTTAAGACGATACCTTGGTTTCGAGAAAGACAACAAAAAGAATGAGCCCTTCAAAAGAAATGTCAAGGACGGAGTAACTAAGGAGAAATGATCTATCCTTTTTTACCAAGGATTTGCACTAACCTATTCGGAGGCCCATGAACATGGATCAGGGTGCTTCGAACCCATGCAATGCAGCTCCCACAGTCCAATCCTGATCCTCGCAGCGATCGGTTTGTGCCACCATCCATCCCCTTCTCCATCGAGATCTGTCACGAACATATCCCTACATACTGTGCAATAATCACATCTATTAATTATGCAACTGCTTTTTTTTTTTTTTTCTAGTCTTTTATTTTTCCTTTTCTTCCTTTTTTTCTTTCGCTTCCCCTCTAGTAATCTTCAATCTTACCGCAACATCCCCTCGAGGGATGGCTCCTTGTACATATTCATACATATCACGTTACACAATAACTATCTAGATGGATGTCCGCAGCATTAAAATGTTCTTAGAAAATCACCTAACAGTTGAGCTCCCAAAAGTTTATATTTCAGCATCTCAGTTCTCGCTTGTGGTCGGTCTCCGTGTAATACTTTTCCCCCAGGCACTTTCTCCGCTCAGGAGGGATCAGCGATATCATGCATGGAAATTATTGTTTATTATTTATTTTTCAGTTTCCTTTCTTTTCTTTTTTTCTTCATGCATTTAACCAATCCTTCCAACATTCATTCCAATCCCTGTTACCATTGGGCACGAACATCTCAGATTCAGCACAGGCAGCTCATGGGCAGTGATCAGGAGGGAAAGTATGTCAGTATGTCAATATTGACGCGGTTCCGAAAATAACCTGGGTTGGAATTATGATGAAAACGGCTACGTACTACTCTGTACTAGTTCAATCTCTTTCCGTCGCAGTAAGGTATCGCTGTAGGTACTAAGATGATATCAAAGTACATATAAGGAAAAAGAAAAGAAGAACATTAAGCAAAAAAAACCTCCGATTCGCATCAAAAATCATTCAAAGAGTAGAAGGAATATGGCCCGCTAGTTCAGAAGGTTTTGATATTCCTTGGGAAATTTTCGTTCCTCGGTTCTACTTATCCTATTTCTCCATTAATTATTATTGTTATTTATTTGTTTTAGATTTTCCCTTGCCTCTTTGCCATTTCCCCCAAATTTGCCTCCGGAGCCACCCAAGCTCAGCTGCTTTCTGGGACTCTGGGTCCAACTAGTCTACTCTGGGTAGTTCTCGACTTCAGATTCGCATTGCACACCGTCACTCTTCCACGACCGTCCGAGTACTATTTGTATCTTTCCAACGATCATTTCCTCTCGTGTATCTTTTCTGTTTTCTCTTTTCTCTCCTCTCTCTTCTCTCTTCTCTTTCTCTTTCTCTCTTTCTTTTTTCTTTCTTTCCCCTTTCCTCCTCTCGTACTCATCTCGGTCCCTTCCGGTCTTCTCTTCTTCTTCTCCTGCTATACGCTTTAATTCATTCCCGTTATTCTTGGGGTTTCAATTTTCCGTCCGGTTTTTACTTTGGTTCCCCCATATAACCTTTTAGTCAATCCACGCATACTCTTCTCTTGTAATTAGTTCCAAAAAAAAACTTTTCGAGACCATTATTTTGCCTCTTCCCCTCTTGCTCACCTGCCTCAAGAAGACCCCGAAAAGAAGAATATAAACAAACGAGCAAGACGAGTGAAATATCGTCCCACGTGTCTGCCGATCCCTTTCAGCAATACTACAAATCCGACCCTTCGATTGACTGATTCAGGTCTGCTGTTCACTACTCAGTCGTTTCCGAGTCGAGTCCAACTTCATCAATTCCTTGCTGCACTCAGGCTTTACGGGAAGGTGCGATTGTTGTGTCATGGAAATATCCTATGGTGGTTTGATCTGAACTTTGTTTTGGACCCTTGTTGGAGGACTATTCAAGATGGACTCTCACCACACAACTCGCCAATTGTTGGAGTACCTTCGCACTGGATATCCAATACTCCTCCTCCTGGTCTTCATATCGGCTTTCATTGCCAATTCTGTCCTTGCCGCCAAAAATGCCAACAATTCTCCTACCGCGGCGCAGACAGGTCCAGGCGGGAGACCACTCCCCAAACGGTCAAGAAGTACGATGGCAGTCATGAAAAATCCCCAGAAATTCTCTCAGAATACGAGATCTTTGTTCAGGTGGTTATCTGTGGGTATACTTTTGACCATTCTTGGGGATGCAGCTGTCAATGTGGCACACGTTATAGTCTCTAGATCGGAGCAATGGTGGTGTGGACAGTCCGTTGTGGTAAGTGCCGTGAAAAATTGGGGAATATAATCAGTGCAGCATTTAATGCTTTATAGATCTACGTTGTGGGTTCGTTCTTTGTCTATTCGATTATCCTCGTCTCTTTATTAGATACAGATCCGTCTCCGACATTTGCGCAGTTTGTCCCTTGGTTGGTAGCAGTGCCCATTGAGTTGGCTATATTGGGAATTTCCTCCTCGATCAACGCTGGCAACCATCATGAGCCAGTTGTAGGAGATCCGACTGGGGGTCGTTTGCAGAAAGGCGTGACTTCTTGGGAAATCACGGAGCTTACCTGTAACTCCGTTAGAGTTCTGATCCTCAGTACATTGGTCGCACTTTACGTGTTCAGTTCCATTAGGATGCATTCAAGCTCCAGAAAAGTACCAAGAGCATATGCCAATGGCGCTTCTGAAACAACAGGGTTACTGGACCCTTCTCATGCAGAGAATGGAAACGCATATGGCTCAACTCCAGCTAACCAGCAGCCTTCTAAGCCTGCTGATGCCTGGGTTCGACCAACTACAGTTCCATCTACTAGCTGGTGGGAGTATCTTAGCGGATACTCGTTATTTTTCCCGTATCTCTGGCCGTCGAAGTCCCGTCGACTGCAGATCGTGGTGGTTATATGCTTCATCCTGATTGTTTTGCAACGCGTTGTCAATGTCCTGGTGCCTCTCCAAGTTGGAGTTATCACCCGCAAATTGACCAAAACGGGCGACGACTTTAATGTACCGTGGTTTGATATCTGTTTGTATATCTTGTTCCGGTGGTTGCAGGGTAACCAGGGCCTAATCGGCTCATTGCGTTCCAGTCTTTGGATTCCCGTGAGTCAATATTCTTACATGGAGCTTTCGACTGCGGCTTTCGAGCATGTGCACAGTCTTAGCCTTGATTTCCACCTGGGTAAGAAGACCGGTGAAGTATTGTCTGCGCTGAGCAAAGGTAGCTCTATCAATACCTTCCTCGAACAAGTCACTTTTCAGGTCGTGCCCATGTTAGTCGATCTTTGTGTGGCCATTGTCTACTTCCTCATTGCGCTTGATGCTTACTACGCTTTGGTCGTCACCATTGTCACTTTCTGTTACCTTTATGTCACTGTCCGCATGGCACAATGGAGAGCAGAGATCCGGCGGCAAATGGTCAATGCCTCAAGACAAGAAGATGCAGTCAAGTACGTTGCATGGTGTTTATGTTCCGCTACATCGGATTTGCTAACCCGGTAATCTTTAGGAATGACTCCATGGTATCTTATGAAACAGTGAAGTACTTTAATGCCGAGGACTACGAGTTCGACAGGTACCGAGGAGCAGTATCGGATTTCCAACGGGCTGAATACCATGTTTTGTTTTCTTTGAATCTGATGAATACCTCTCAGAATACAGTTTTTATGCTTGGACTACTAATTGCCTGTTTTATTGCTGCTTATCAGGTCTCACTGGGACAGCGGGACGTTGGTGAATTCGTGTCGCTTCTCACTTATATGGCGCAACTCCAGGGCCCTCTGAACTTTTTCGGCACCTTCTACCGATCCATCCAATCGGCATTGATCAACTCGGAGCGGTTGCTAGAGCTTTTCCGAGAACAACCGACAGTTGTCGATATGCCTAGTTCTACTCCTCTACCGGTTTGCAAAGGTGATATTGCCTTTGAGAACGTCAAATTTTCATATGATAGCCGCAAACCTGCCCTGAATGGCCTTACTTTCCGCTGCGAGCCGGGAACGACGACAGCCTTGGTTGGTGAATCTGGTGGTGGCAAATCCACCGTTTTCCGTTTACTCTTCCGTTTCTATAATTCCGAATGGGGGCGTATCTTAGTCGACGGGCACGACGTGAAAAACACCACAATCGATTCTCTCCGGAAGCACATTGGCGTTGTTCCGCAGGATACTGTCCTCTTCAATGAGACGTTAATGTACAACCTGAAATATGCCAACCAGAATGCGACAGACGAAGACGTCTACGAGGCTTGCAAAGCTGCCAGTATACACGACAAGATCATGTCCTTCCCTGATAAATATAACACCAAGGTCGGTGAACGTGGTCTACGACTCAGTGGCGGAGAGAAACAACGAGTGGCTATTGCCCGTACTATCTTGAAAAACCCGCGCATCATTCTTTTGGATGAAGCTACAGCCGCGTTGGACACAGAGACCGAGGAGCATATCCAGGGAGCTTTGTCCACTCTTTCACGTGGCCGTACCATGCTTGTAATCGCTCATCGACTAAGCACCATTACGACTGCAGATCGCATCCTAGTCTTACATGAGGGCAAGGTCGCGGAGAGTGGCACCCACGATCAACTACTAGCCATGAAAGGCCGCTACGCAAGTATGTGGCGCAAGCAAATACGAGCGCAGAGGGCAGCGGCGGAGGCCCAAGTACTCCAAGATCGTGCCCAGCGCTTGCGCAGTGCATCAACCTCGGGCGCTGTTGGGGATGATAGTTCCAGTCAGTCTGACGAGGACCAAAATGGTAAGCCGCATGCCTCTGCGGTCCGACAGACATAGGGCCATCACTGGCCCGCTCACGATCAGAAAACATAGAGCAGAACCGGAACAAGTCAGCGTGGGGAGTTATCCCAGGCGTTGTTTCAGTCACATATAAAGAGCTTATACTTAGAGTGTCCGAGGGATGATATACCAAGTCTAGGGTTACTTTTGTCCTTTTCCCTTTTTTCTTCTTTTTCTTTTTTTTTTTTTTTTTTTATTTTTTTTTTTTTTTTGTTTGTTTTTTTTTGTTTTGGTGTTGTGTTTTCAGGGGTGTTTAGATATATGCTAACGTGGAACAGAGTATTTTTTTTTTTTTTTTTTTTGGGAAGATGCTCTTATAGGGATACACTTTTCGTTTTCTTTTCTCCCCGTTGTTCCAGCCTCGCATTACTTCTCGTGTTCCATTCAATTAAGTCGGTAAAATTGGCGTTCTAAGTGACTTACGACTTGTATGACGCGCTTTCCTTGTCAATTCATACAAAACTTGCTGAAGAGGCAGCTGGATCCGTGAATACATTTTCTGGACCAATTACACTTTGAAAATAAAGCATGATACTCGTCCATAGCAAGCAAATATAATACGAACTATCAAATCTTCCACATTAGTTTCGACGATCACTTGGACGCAAACGGGCTGCTGCTCGAGGTGATCAGGCGCGGTAACACTATCGCCAGCAGATAGAAAACGGGACAGAGACAGTAAGCTACTCGGAAGCGCCTGCAATGGTAGGTGGTAGGTAAACATTTCGAACATTATATGTACAGAATGGCATAAAGTATTACATATACACGTTCTAAACATGTTTGAGAAACTTCTGTGGTATGTTCCTTTCCACGATCTGCATCCTCTCAAGCTGCTCAAGCCGATAAGCAGCGTCGTCTTCCTCATCATGCCTCCGGAAATGCTCAATATCTTCTGGATGAGTGAGGTCTTCCTCCTTGGCATCATCTCCATGATACTTCTCGAAATGATGAATCTCATATTCATATTCAATGTCGCCATGGTGGCCAGGTCCAAACCCGAAATCAGGCAGACGCTTGCCCTCGGAAATCAGACGCATCCAGTTATCTCGAGTAACGAATCCAGTGTTCCCAGGGTCAAATAGCCCAAATACTTCCCGGACAGCCTGTTGCTTGCGCTCCTCACTGACACCTGCATTTGACTCATCGTCGAGACCATAAGTCTTCCGTACCTCATCGGCTGTCCATGCCCCTGAGTTATCATAGTCGTGGAAAGTAAAGAAGGATGCAGGATCAAAGGAATCAATGTGGTGCTCCTCTGTCATGTACGGATATTAGAAAGGTGCCTCTAACTTTCTCAGGAGCAATTGGACTCAATAACGCACCTTGCATGTGCCGAGTAGCCCAGTCCGAAGAAGGATTCTGTTCACTCGAGTGAGACCCATGAGCGTTCGCGAAGCTGCCGCTCAGGGCAAGCAGAACGGTAGCAAGAGACACGGAGTGGCCGAGCATTTTCAAATGACACAGCCTCGGAATTGCGTACTGAGTGAAATGATCAGAACTGATTCAGTATACAGGCAGTAATGAGTAATTTAAACCTTGTTGATGTGGCCTTTTCTATGAGTACTAATACCTGGATTCCAGTTCGGAGAACGAACTGCCCGTTCAGTAGAGAGGCTGTTTGCAGTGTTTGCATCCACTCCGCCGAACTTATGACTTTTTTGTCCGACGGCACATGAACCACTTTTCTGTTTCTGCGGTACACACTCCCTTGTCCCGACAGACGCAATTGAGCCCCTAAGGGCAAGCTGCCGACCCCCGCGTTATCGCCATTCTTATCATTGGAATCGACTGTACAGGAAATGTTGCGGTAATGCAGAGCCTTTGGTCCCGGGCCGCCTCGGCGCGCTCGTCTTGTCATTGCGTTTCTTGTCTAAGCACAGCGACTCCCGGACTAACGTCAAGGGCGGCATCAGCAGCCAGTAAACGGCGGTTACGAATTGGAAACTCGGTCACAGCGCTATACACAAGTATCTTTGCGGCTGCAGCTCTAGCTGATGCCCAAGCCAAAGACCAACGACGCCATGAATGGCAGGAGAAGATCGCAGCTGTCAAGGAAGAAGTCAACGAATTAGTGGACGAGGAACAACGCCTTTTGGCGACTATTGCAGCACGGCGGAAGCGGAGGTCATTATTTAATGGCGTATTGACAAGCCGACAATACAGCACCTCTGCCAGATCATCACCAGTGGGAATCCAAAATACTACAAGGAGTGTACCGATACCTTCACTCGCCGCCGACGTTCGCTCGCAAGATAATTATGAGGCTCGAATTGGGGACGGGATTGAAACTTATCTCGATAAGGGGGATGAATATGACGGGAAAGCCCTAGAGGATCTGGTCGCCGAAAGTGATGACCCGGTGCAGAACGATATACAGGAGGAGTTTGGCTTCAGTTTTGAAGATGATGCTTACCCCGAGTGGCTGTCATATGACATAGTCCGCCAGAAGGTTATACGGAAGCTTGCAGTGAAACAGTTGGCTATACGACTTTTGCTACGCCCGGCAATTGCGCACTCTTACATGGGACTTCGGATGAAATACATCTCCGATAGTTCAGTGCCCAAATTGAATGTAGCGGAGCTCCTACATGAATTGAATCAAATCCGAATACGTTTACAGGAGCTGAAGACAAAAAGGGACATGAATATTGATGATTTGGCAAAGGATCTCCGTGTACGCAACATCAAGGAGATGGCTTGGGAGAATGCAAAGCTCAACAAGGAGGCTCGCCGCGACACAGATCTATACCTCGAAGGGACTATGTCTCTTCAAGAGCTTCTTTTGAGGCTGTCCAGCAACCTACTGCAAGCTACTGATCCCGACCGACCGTTTTGCCTGGGGATGATGCTTTATACGTTCACCAAATCTCGTCAAAATGACCTAGGTGATCTGGTCTTAAAGACAGTATTGCCGAACAAATTTCCATTAAATTCCACCTTTATTCTCTCAATAATATCCTTTTACCGCAAATCCAAAAATCTCAAAGCATTCGACTTGTTTCTGGAAATGCTGTGTGGTGAGAGCTACCCGGTAGACTTATCCACCATGGGATATTTTAAGCGGACGGTGATCAATGGCGTCGAGATCTCAATTCCTCCCAGCAATATGACCAATTCGGTTATGTACTCTGCATTAATCATAGCTTGCCTGCGCTTCGATCAACCCGACCGAGCCGATGCCTATCAGCAAGCCGCAAGAGCGGCAGGGTACATGGACGATTTTGCAACTCTTTACGCCTATTTGAAATTTTACGGTATTCGCCGTGATTGGAAGAAAGGGGTGGAAACCATCAAAAGATCTTTGGCTTTCATGGCATCATCCACGGAACACGAGTCACACCTTCTCGAAAGGTTGGTAGTATTGATGGTACATCTGTGTGATGCGTGCGACAGACACGATGTCTCCGAGGCCATTATCGTAGCCGCGGTCGAAAATGGATTTGATTGGAGGTCTGCACAAAAACAAGCAGACGTCAAATTCTCATTTGATCCTCACTTCCGCCGGTGGCATGTAGCTGAGGATTCGTCAACGATAAGAGCAACTAAGGACAAGCCGCTGTGGGAGAGATCTTGTGCCTTCGTGAACACGGTCGGAGAACAGCTTAACGACCTTACTCTGCCCGAGGAGGAAGGCTCTGCGAGGAAATGGCATAAGCTGGTGGGGACATACTCCCAGGAAGTTCTATCAGCTGTGCTCGCTGGCCGCGCTGCGGAGTATAAGAAACCCGAAGAGGACGGGCAGCAAAACCTGCTGAAAACCTTTGACGTGGAGAACAACAGATTCTATAATGCTGAGGCTACAGCAAAGGCTCACCAAAAAGAGATCATGGCTCTGAAGGACCAGGTTGCGCAGCTCAAACGAATGGTTTTTGACTTGACAAAACAGTCCGCACTCAGCCATTCCCAGTCCAGTCCCCAGGATCTCGGACAATTAAAAGACAAGCTTCGTCATACGAACTCGCGCGTGGTCGAGCCGAGCGCGGTAAACATTCGATACGTTGGAAACTGAACTCTCTACGAGTGATATCCTCCCAATATCCACCTGGCGCACTGTGTTCATAGAAGGATCGGGTTGGAAACTGTGTACATCATAGGCATTTATTGAAGGGCGTACGTTTGGTCTCTATTCTCATATCCTCTTGCTATATATGTTGATACCTCCAAGGTTTGTACATTATTACGACGAAAACTAGATTTTTCTCATCTTCGGACTTTGTTTGGTCTGGATCTCTTCTATAGCCTCTTACCCTACGCATGTAGACTGTATGAATTATGGCTTTTATTAAGATTTTATGTGCCCGAAGAATTAATTCATTCTTTTAATCTCATAAGAATATTGGCAATTGTCCTTTCTATACCATTAAGGACATTGTGGGTAGTCTCAAGTCTAACTGCATCCCATCGGAATAGAAAGTGTTCAAGCTTCGCAACAGAGCCTCACGCAACTCAACATCCTGGTGATTCAGAGACGGAGAGGATGCATCTCGTTAGGCCAACGCCCCAATAACTAAAGATAGCATAAGAGGTGAAAATGATAACAGATCTATAAACAAAAAATGGATAATAATTTAACGCCTCCGGCTGGAATCGCCACGCATTTTCTCTTTACGAGACAACCGTTCTGCGGCACGGAGCAATGCAGAGCGAATTTCGCCCTTGGGGAAGGTCGTAATATCATAATAGGTGGGTGCGATATCCTGCAAAGACCATTAGCTAAAGATATATAGTGGTGGGGAGAACTAAGTGAGCTTACAATGAGCCACTCAGGCTTGACTGCTGTGACGGTTCTGATGTAGTTCTTGGTCGTGAGCACGAATTCATTGTACACAACCCAATCAGCGTCATAGCTTAGAACAGTCGACGGGTGCAAGAGGACGTTCTGGTTGTCCTTAATAGTCGTGTATTTGCTCTTGCCTTGAGATTCCTTCTTCGCAACCTGCATGAAGAATCCGGCACAGAGAGCACGTCGGATGTTTTCATAGTACTTCTTGTCCTCAAATGGCGTCGAAACCATTTCCAGCTCCTCGCGCTCCATGATCCGCAGGAGCTGCATGCGCACATTATCTGCCGACTGGAGGGATCGTAGGGAAAGGAAATGGTCATGGCACCACTGCTTGGGGTTCTCTTGTGCATCCTGGCCCTTGAAAGCATGGTAGACGTTAAGGAGAGTAAGATGGTCACCGTCGGGGTGGGAGAAAAGGTTCTTCATCTCATCCGCCCGCTTTCGTTGAGACGCAGGTCTCACGAACACCTGAGGAACTGAAAGCAAGGCTGTGATAGAAAGGATTTCATTTGAACAATAGAACTCAGGCGAGCTGATCAGCATGACCGCAACCGCAGGATCAAGAGGAAATTCCGAGGCAAGACGTCCAAGTTGGGTTAGGTTTCCATCGTCATCAAGGCAAGCTAAGTAATTAAGCTCTTCAAGAGCTCTCATAAGCGTTTCCGGAGCCGGGGGGTCCATCAAGTCGAAGTGAACAAGGTCATCAATTCCAAGCTTCTTCAATTCTAACACAGTTGATGAAAGGTTGGACCGTAAGATTTCCGGATACGTCTGGTCAATCAGCTCCTTCTTGAAAGCACCCTCAGTGTAAAGACGGAAACACTTTCCGGGACGAGTACGACCTGCACGACCGGCTCTTTGCTGTGCAGAAGCTTTAGAGATGGGCGATACTAGGAGGGACTCGACACGAATACGAGGGTTGTAGATCTTCTGCTTCGAGAAGCCAGGATCCACGACGTAGACGATACCATCGATTGTGAGCGAGGTTTCCGCAATGTTGGTGGAAACAATGACCTTTCTACCGGGACGACCTCCAGGACGACGCGGTGGTGGGGCCGGGTCGAAGATGCGTTGTTGCATATGCGGAGGAAGACTACCGTACAGTGTATAGACTTTCAAGGGGCCAGCATCGACTTCTCTCACCATCTCATCTGCCTCTAGTGAGATTTTGCGCGCAGCATCCTCAATCTCTTCTTCACCAGTCAGGAACAGAAGTATATCACCATCATCCTCTGTAGCATGAATTTGCAAGACAGTGCGAATGGCGGCCTCCACATAGTCCTGCTCAGGCTCAGGAGTATAGAAAATCTCGACTGGGTGAGTACGACCGGGAACCGCAAGAAGAGGAGCATCGTTGAAGTAGCGCTGGAACTTTTGGGCATCCAGAGTGGCAGACATGATAATGATCTTCAAATCTGGTCGACGTTCTACGACTTCTTTGAGAAGACCCATGAGAACATCAGTGGCCATGGTTCTTTCGTGGGCCTCGTCCAGAATAATAGTGCTGTAACGGTTGAGGTTATGATCGTGCATGGCTTCTCTCAACAGCATACCATCCGTCATGTACTTAAGACATGTCTTGGGGCTCGTCATATCTTCGAAACGGATGCTGTAACCCACTTCCTCTCCAAGTTTGACATCCAACTCAGCAGCCACACGTTGCGCTACTGACATAGCAGCCACACGTCGAGGCTGGGTACAAGCGACCATCTTGCGCTGGCTTTGTGGCTGATCATCGAACAGGACGAACTGAGGGATCTGGGTAGTTTTACCGGAACCAGTCTCACCGACAAAGACTAGGATCTGGGACTTCTGGTAGAGTTGAAGGAACTCATCTCTTTGCACATGAATATTAGA